AAAAAGTGAATTGGTGGCGTCTTGTGTGCAGCACTCAATGTTGAATCGACCATGGTAGTTATGACATAAGAACTAACAAGAAGTTGTCATCTGAAGATCCATCATGTATTTTAGTTCGATTGAACATGATATGGCATTCATCTTCTGCCAAGAAAACAATATCTTTGAGACGATATCAAGAGTTCAAACGATCAACTCATGAAAGAACTTTACAGTATGAAAATAATTAGTAAAGCTTCGATTAAGAGACACATCAATGCAGAATCAAAAAAAGCCTCGCTTAACCGCTCTCTAAGAAATACACAAGCTTCCACTATACATTCGTCAATCTCTGAAACAAATTCTCCTGATTCCACAATAATAGAAGCAATTGCAGAATCACATCCATGTTCACTCCGCTGCTCACAAGACGCCACTAATTCACTTTTTCGTTTTCTCTCATTTGTATATTCCATAAGAAGTAGGTAACAGGTCAAACAAACCTGTGTTTCTCTTGTGTATAGATTTAACATTTCGTATTCATTCACTCAGTTTTTCCTCTTTTTCAACAAGAATAAATTCACATTTTTATAAGACATACACACAATTAGTGACCGAATCACGAAGACGAAAATACATAGAAATTAGAATGTAAACAGACAAATTAGATAAAGAACAATTCCTTTCTTGTTTTTCACATACGAAATCGTCTACAACACGGAAGGAATCATAAACACACGGAATAGTTTCGAAGAAATCTTCACTTACTTGGGTGCTGTAGCTGAACCCTGACGAGACGAAGGTGAGGGTGTGTTCGTTGATGTTACTTCTTGAAGAACTCGTTCTTCACTTTGACACCGCTTATGCAACACCAATGGATCTGGTGGTGATGTGTATGTCAGGCGTTCAATATCCTTGAATATCACATTCACACCACCGGTGCTCGATGGAAGAACATCACCCTAGCAAATGAAACAAGGGGCGATTAAATTTGCTTCATTATCTCCTCAGCTTACTTTGACGAAGTCAGTCGCCACTTCACCTTGTGCATCCAGATTCTGATGTGTCAGCACATATTTCGTTGTTCGGATGATTTCACCCTTCGCCGGCGCTTTTTGTGTACACACTTTCTTATTGAACTTCGGTTGAAGAAGAGTTTCTAAAATGGTAAATCAATCACTTCATTGATAATCTAATCGACTGTCGATCAAATCTGTTGGAGCTGTTCCTTGTGGTCGATGGTCGAGCCAGACTTCGCCCAACGATCGTGATCGACGATGTTGCTGTCGAGGATGAGCAACAACTGCATGTGCATAGGTTCGCTCTTTCGTGTATTGCAGATCTGAGAGATGATCATTTCAACTCGATGATACTGTTGTCCTTGATTCTGATAAACATTCTCAGCTGCATTTTTATAAACAATCCGTTGATTTAGAAGATGTTTGCAATAAATGTCTTCAATACGAACGGTGTTAATGTTGGATTGACAGGAATCACAAACTGTTCACTCGAACAACCATTGTTTGTTGCCATTGATCGAATGATGTTTAGTTTATCATCGTGTTGTCGACCAAGTTCACGCAATTGAATTTCCTTCGTTTCGATTTCATCGATCTTCAAAGAGAAACAACAAAAATACATGCATAGTAGAGTTTTCTTTTTCTTACATATTGTCATTCAGGTTCATTCTGTTTAATTCGCTATTTTCAACAAGTGATTCTGTGCCTTTTCCAATAGTTTAATGCGTGTTTGGAGATGACGAATGGTTTTTGTTTGTTGATCATTTTCCTTGCACAGATCTTGTGGTCACTCTTGTTTAAAAAAAAGACCTTTTTCAAAGATATATTAACAATTGTGAATCAAAGCCATCAAGAAAACGATGAAGATCGACTCCCAAGGGAGCACCACATCCATTCGTGAACAGATCCCGTGGTCAACACTGTTTTCTTCTTTGACGAGCATGTCAATAACACAAGCAGAAGGAGTCTAAACAAGCCATCCAAAATAAACAGAAGAAGAGAACACATATACCTCGATTTCACGACGCACCATGACTTGTTCGGTCTGATCAGTGTGAGTCATAGAATCAAGGCAACTGATCATTCTACACAGACGGCTATGAATCATCTAGGCTCCAGAGGTGATCTGTATATCTTTCGAAATGAGTCACTTTCAACTTGAGGAGAAAATTTTAATTAAACCGTATGCCTTTTCAAACATCCACACACCAGACAGAAATTAACTCACGTCACATTTAACGGAACCTCTCTCGCCAAAACGTCGGTTAGAAAAAGTATCGAGAAAAAACTGCCGAGTGACAAAAATGAAATACAGATTTGGCTTTCATCCAAACACAACGAAAAAATTTTCAAAACAAAACACCAATGTTTACTAGACACTTGTTATTAACCAGAGATGGGGAACTCGAACTCCGAGATGGAGTGGAGTTCAAATAATTGAGCTGGAGTTGAAGCAGAGTTGGAGTTGGATTTTTAAAAGTATTTGGAGTTACCCATCTCTGACTACAAGCCATGCCAGCATTCCAAGGTCACCAAAAGTAAAACACCTATCTACTCCATCATACCGCACATTATTTTCTAGAATGCGCCAACAACCATGCTTCGACTACCCAGTACGGCGGTTAACTATCCCCATGGACACTGAACAAATCATACACCATTAACAACCAAAGCCAAAGTAAGCACTTACTTGAGAGAACAGACATATACCACCTCCCTTCCCCAGCACGCAAGCTGACCCGTTTCGATAAAAATACCCCATTGCTTCTTAACGACGACGTGTGACAATATATCTGCGGCAAAAGGAGGTGTAACGGTTCATCAGAGAAGGCGAAACAGACCAATTCCAGCTGGTCTTGGCATAAGGGCTCTTTCGAGTAAAGGTAAATAATCCCAGATTATTATGGCAGGGTCGGTTCCAGTAATTTCCCGACCGTTTCCTGCAAAATTGGAGCTGGAAACGGTCAGGAACTGATCGGATATTTCCTGTGTAGTTCCGGCCGGAATCCGACAGCAAGGAACCTGCCGGAATGATCGACCGGGGATGGATCGATCCCTCGTGACGATGCTGATGAGCCCTACAAAGAAAAAATCATGAGCAGTTGAGCAGTGAAGATTCAACGCACCTTTTCGTAGTCATTTCTATTGTTCGATCCGTTCGATGGAGAGTGAAATCAGGCACGCATCTGTGCATACGATACTGAGTGGAACCTGGAAAAAATCAATAATCAACAGTCCAAGAGTGACGATGAAACTGACCTATCCTTGGTGATTTTCGTCGATGAGCCAATGCGATTGGGTTGACGTTCACCGCGTCATGCAGAAGGACGGTATCTTCGAATAAAGCACGTTTGTGAGTGTCGTGATGGCGAGTGAATTTCCTGATTAGACGTTGTTCTGGTCTGCTTTTTTTGTCGAGCGTAGGTGGTGTGGAGGAAGTAGTCGTTTCAACGCTTTTTGATGAGATAATTGAGGTGAAGAGTGAGATGTCGTTGTTACTTATGGTCCCATTCATTTGCTGGGATTGTTAAGCTTAGGGGATCGTTTTGCATATGAACGAATGAGTTGTTGTAGCGATTGGCAGGGTAACGTTTGGAAGAGAAAGTAATATATTGTTTGAGGTATAGATATAGCGACTCATTGCGTTGTGTGAATTTTTAGAAATGTGGTGGACTTGCGTTGGAAATCAAGCACGTTTTGGTTGTTGGCCTTATCATCACCGCTAACATTGTACGATCTGAACGCAATACCCGACAAATGCTTATGGGGTGGCCATTTGCAGTTCTTGCCTCTGGCCTACTCTGTAGCGGGTTTAGCTGGCCCGGGGTTAATAGCAATTCTGTATAGAAAGTCCTACGGCCCTCTTGTCATCAGTGGTATCGGCTCGGCGATGGGTTTTATTCTCGGATGTTTTGGGTTTCATGGCCTGTACGACTGGGTGGAGAAATCGATGGATCTCATGAGCGTGTTCTACATTGGAATTCGTTACCAGCTGCGCTGCACCAGTCTGTTCCAGGCTCGTGATTTTAGATATAAATTACTGGTATGTCGATTCATTTGTGTTATCATAGCTATCGTACTTGGCTTATCGATGTATCTGTTTGGAAAATAGCCTATTACATTACGTCATGTATATGTTAGTAGGATAACATCTGGCGTCAGGATATATTTTTTTTCTCCCTGTTCTCTTCATGTCTACACGTATATATATAGGACACATGAAGTGTCCATAATGCGTGCTCCATCTATCAGTATTTCTCTCCTCTCTTTGTCAACTTGTGTCTATTGTTACTAATAAACTTATTCCTGAACTCATTTACAGTATCTTAAGCGGGGCATGGATTTCTGGTCAATACTTGCATCTTGGGTGCTTCTGCGCATTATGATTGTGTGTGTATCGGTTGCCTCTTCACAGTAAACGATGAAGATCCAACCTTTGCATCTGTGCAAAATTAGTCATGTCGATTATGTTAGAAGAAAAGATAACATAAAAATTCGAATTACCCAAGTCAAACAATCCGGTCCGAAAACGGCCAGTTCCAGGACATTCCGGAGATTTAATTGAAGCAGTATTCTGGCTACTAAATCCTGTCATCGCATTTATTCGATTTTCTTAGGAACCGACAGGAACCTGCCATTACTGATCGTCGGATACGATCCTGATTCCTTCAGCAGGATTCCAGACACTTTCCCATAGTATCCAACCCGGGCATCCATGAGGTGCCTAATTCAACTTATATTATAAGCCGACCCCCGACAGGCTAATATCAATTCGAATATAATTAGATATCTATATCACTCTTATAACAAACGATTAGATCGGAAAAGAAACAGATTTAGTTTTCATTATACCTATAAATCCTCACGCCGACACTCTTACCGTCATCCTCATCCTCATACGAGCATATCTGGATTGAGGATGTATCAAAATTGTAGACTCCCTCACTCTTGTTGATGAAAATTTGCGTTGTATTTTCAAAAGACATCTATTTGTTCTTCATATATATTCGTAGAAAAACGACGGGGCGAGAGCCGGTCCATACCGATGTTAAGAAGGATATCATCCATCCGCACGATTTGGGAATATCCCAACATGAGATATCTCGTAAATTCGACGAATTTCATTGAGTTGCTGCGAGACCTGGCGCTGGTCGTCCACAAAAAACGACTACTCGTGAACGAAGATTGATCAAACTTCAGCAGATTCGAGATGATACCTTCTCATTGAACAATCTTGTGCGATATTCTTTTACGGATTTGAATTTATCTCTTAGCCGATCAACGATTAGTCGTATTCTACAAGATTACAACGTAGTATCGTATATTGGCACCAAGAAAACCTCGAATAACTCGAATACAACGACGAAACCGAATTCACTGGTGTCGCAAACATCTGGATTGATCGATCGAAGATTGATCCAATGTGATTTTTTCGGATGAAAGCAACTATGAAATACTTAATCGCAAAAATCGGTTCTGTATTCGTCGATTCCGAAATGATTTGGGTCGAATGTGTCGTTCACAAAAGCGAGTTCATAAGGGCATTGGGATATGTTTATGTAGTATATGTAGTCATCTATCTAACGAATATATATGAAGAACAAATAGATATCTTTTGAAAATATAACGCAAATTTTCATGAGCAAGAATGAGGGGGTCTATAACTTTGACACACCATGTATAAGTGAAACTAAATCTATTTCTATTCCTATGTAGATACGGATTGTAATGTGGTAGGAATTGGTCACTTATATTATAAGTCGAATTAGGCAGCTACTCATCCCGACACCATCCACTTATTTCGAAACACAGAGAAACAAAACAAACATGCACTACCGAAACGTCCTAGACGAAGACTACACACAGGATTTGCGCGCGACACTCATTCATTGCCATCTAAGTAGTCACATACCCCATCCTACAAAAAAACCTTCATCACGCCAATATTTTAGAATGTCACGACGAGCTAACGTAAACGAACCTTCAATGGAACTCCACATCGAGCCCGACTACAACGAAAAGTGAGCACCAACTCCTTAAATACAAACTACTTGAAAACAATGATAGCGATTCTCCAAGGCACAGATGAAACCTACAAAAGTACATCACGTTGACTACATAGTCATCTTAAAAACAGAAAAATGTGTTTGGTATGGTTCAGTCGATCGAAAAACTCACCGAACCCAGGACGATGGTTCCTGAAGCAGGATTCCATGAAATCTCCGGAATACCCCGGAACCGACCATTGCCGTGTCGGATTGTTTGATCTGGGAAGTCGAAGATTTTGACTTGGGAGCGCCGTAGAACGAACAATTGGATAGATTGTCATCTGAAAAGCAGAAAAGGTATGTTCGCTATGGTCCGGTCGACGAGGAAACGCACCAAAGCGGTTGGCGGTGACTTGCGGATGACGTTAGACGAGTAATTGCTTCAATAGTGATTGGAAATGAGGGGAACATAATGAGTGAAAAGGGTGGGTTCGAGGTACGACTGGTGCGTGTGATTTCTGTTTTCGACGCGAAGTCTTATGGAGATTGTACGGAAGTGGCGAAAGATAGTCTCTGGACAGGATTGGCAGATGTTGACCAGGTCGAAAGATGGCACAGTAATATGCTAATCGTTTGGGCGAAGAAATCGTCTGGGCTGTAAACTGCGGAGAGAAAAGACAGTTAGATAGTAGATTTGGTGGTGTCGAAGAGTAATCATAGCGTAGGATACGCACATAGAAATCGCTTTTGGTCGTTTATTTGGGGCGAAAAGCATTGAAAACGAGATTTTCGTTTCAGTTTTGAGCGGTATGGTCTAATGTTTGTGTTGTGCATCGGTTCCTGTTGGCTATTTCGATTGGTGCGGTTTTTCACCTGCATGCTCTTCCTGAGAAGAAGAAATGGCATGTGAGTTTGACTTATATGCCAGTGGTAAATACTTTTTTTTATAGCAAATTTTATTGTCCCTTTGTACTAGGTTGACAATTATAAGAGAAGAAAACGAGAGATTGGTGGAACACGATCATTAGATTCCTAATTACAAATTCAAAAATAATAGAAAAAGGATATATATTTAGAGAGAGCAAGAAAGAACAATAAAAGCAATTACATTGTTGTTATTGCCGACATCTTTATATATATATACATACACAGTATAAGCACGAAAGATCGAAAGATATAATATCCACTGGATATTATCCAGTGATACAATTTGACAATAACGTTGTCCAAAGAGAAACTAACTAGAGAAAGAAGAGTTGAAGATGAGAAATAAAGATTTACATACAGATTAAATCCGAACATCGCACTACATAATTTTTCTTTCTTTTAGATTTTTGCATGGATTGAGATGAAAACCTCGGCAAACCCTCGTAAGCTACATAAGGTATTTATCTATGAAGTGACATATTAAGAAGGAGGAGTGTCTAAAGTACCCATATTGCTGACGATGATTTATCAATAGATTACATATTTCCACTTTTGTACGTTTAGCTTGTTTTGAAAGTCGTACAAGAAATTTATTGTTTCTTCGCATATCTATGCTCCGATACAATTTTTTGGCGCTTTTACAGATAGATACGCATTGAATGTTGATCGGTAGTGGGTCGCTTCCAGAGATTTCTCAAATGTATGTTGAATTTATACCAGTATTTAAATAGATAATCAGTCAGTCTAAGTTCTCTCGTTAGCGTATAAACAGTAAAATCGTCCCATTGATTGAGATTATATACGATACGAAGACCAGAGCAATATACATGCTCAATGTTTCCCTGTTGAATTTCTGTGTAAAAGAATCAACATGAAAACAACCAGTTTAAATGAGGTAAGGCATACGCAAAGAATATTTTTCTTTTTAGTTTGATTAATGCTATTGGTATTGTTCGAAATAGGATTCGTAAAGCATTATAAATTTTTCTAACTTTTCGTAGCCGTTTATCGACACAAATTCCCGATCCAATTTTGGTAGTTATTTCTACTCCCAAATATTTAAATCGTTTCACAAATTCAAGTTCGTTTCCTTTATATTTTATTTAGGACACGATGGATTTACTACATTGTGTACCAACATTGCTCTTGTTTTGTTAATGTTTACTGGGAGTAAGTTGTTATCAGCATATATTTCTAAGATTATCATTGCAACTTCTGCTTGTTTTTCAAGTGCGCCTGTAATTACGATGGCAAGATCATCTGCAAAAAAAGTGACAGACTAGATTCATAAAAAAAGGTAGGAAATGAACGTGTAGACGAAACAATGTAGCAGCAAGAACAGAACCTTCTGGAGTATCAATAAAAATATTGATCGATTTCGAGACTGCTTCACCAACACCAGTGGTAAATGCTGCCACAAATAATCTGGGCGCAATTATGATAGCAGTTCTATACGGTGTGCCACCCAGGTTATTATGGCACGGTCGGTTCCGGCCGGTTAGGTTCGTTTTCCGACCATTTCCATGCCGCCGGAATCGAGAAGAGCTGTACTGGAACCGACTCAAATTTCAACGGATCCAGTCGCCGGAATGATCGACCTGGGCATATGTGACTTTGGCGATCGCTTAGGTGGGTTTGGATGTTATTGGTATCATTAGTTACAGTTATCCAGGATGGTTCGATTGGCTCCAACAGACTCTGACTCTCATGTGTTTTTATTATATTGGTATCAAGCATTTTCTCAGAAGCACCAGCCTAACTAAGTGGCGGATTGCTAAACTTTTCGGTTTGATTTTTATGTGTTTTTTTGTCACTTGTTGTTTGGTTCTTTGTCGACGTGAAGAGGAGTAACTAGCTAAAGGTCAACCTCACAGATGTTTGTTAAATAGGCTCTTTTCTTCTTATTCATATAAATTTCGGTTCTTTGTACTTAACAGCAGCTCGACTTATGTAATTATGCAATAACAATGGATCTGGTCAAAATGAAGATGTTAGTCGTTTAACATCATTGAATATTACATTCACACCACAAGTACTTGACAGAAAGAGATCACCATCCTATAAAATGAAACGAAACATGCTCAGATTCATATCTTCTTTCTTACATCTAACTTTGATAAAATCAGTGACAACTTCACTTTGTGCATCAAGATTCTGATGTGTCAACACATATTTCGTTGTTCGGATGATTTCATCCTTCACCAGTGCTTTTTTGTGTGCATACTTTCTTGTTAAACTTCGACTGAAGAAGAGTTTCTGAAATGATCAATCAATCATCATTTCGATGATCATTCATTTGAATCTTTATCAACCCTGTTGGAACTGTTCCTTGTGGTCGATGTTCCAGCCAAACTTCACTCAAAGATCGTGATCGACGATGTTGCTATCGAGGATGAGCAACAGCTGCATGTGTATGGCTATTGTCAATGTGCATTGGTTCGGTGTTTGATGTATGAGAATGAGGGCGTTCCACTGGTGTAATTGCACTTCTGAGAGATGGCCATTTCAACTCGATGATACTGTTGTGCTTGATTTCGATAAACATTATCAGTTGTATTTCTACAAATAGTCCGGCGATTTGAAAGATGTTTGTAATTAATACTTTCAATACGAACGGTGTTGATGATTGATTGACAGGAATCACGAATTGTTCACTCGAACAACCATTGTTTGTTGCCATTGATCGAATGATGTTTAGTTTATCATCGTGTTGTCGACCAAGTTCACGCAATTGAATTTCCTTCGTTTCGATTTCATCGATCTTCAAAGAGAAACAACAAAAATACATGCATAGTAGAGTTTTCTTTTTCTTACATATTGTCATTCAGGTTCATTCTGTTTAATTCGCTATTTTCAACAAGTGATTCTGTGCCTTTTCCAATAGTTTAATGCGTGTTTGGAGATGACGAATGGTTTTTGTTTGTTGATCATTTTCCTTGCACAGATCTTGTGGTCACTCTTGTTTAAAAAAAGACCTTTTTCAAAGATATATTAACAATTGTGAATCAAAGCCACCAAGAAAACGATGAAGATCGACTCCCAAGGGAGCACCACATCCATTCGTGAACAGATCCCGTGGCCAACACTGTTTTCTTCTTTGACGAGCATGTCAATAACACAAGCAGAAGGAGTCTAAACAAGCCATCCAAAATAAACAGAAGAAGAGAACACATATACCTCGATTTCACGACGCAGCATGACTTGTTCGGTCTGATCAGTGTGAGTCATAGAATCAAGGCAACTGGTCATTCTACACAGACGGCTATGAGTCATCTAGGCTCCAGAGGTGATCTGTATATCTTTCGAAATGAGTCACTCTCAAATTGAGAAGAAAACTAATTAAACCCTATTTGTTTTCGACATGCACAAACCTAATCGATATCAACTCTGATAGCATTTAGCAGAACCTTTTTCACAATAGCTTTAGTCGAAAAACGTATCCAGAAAAAAGTGTACGGTGAAGAAAACGAAATGAGGATTTGGCTTCTATCCAACCACAGAACGAAATAATTTTAAACAAAGCACACAAATGTATTATTCTTTTGTTCTCATATACATCTCTCTCTACTTCAACGGTAACATTACATACACAGGTACAATCACCACAAAAGAAGATTTTAAATAAGAAGTAAGCAAACTCCATACCTCGATCCCATAATTCCTCATTAGAAGCTTTTCCTGAACTTCACGCGACAATCTAACCTCAAGTCACTATCATACAAGCGTTCGAAACTTGCCAAACACAGACATATTTGTTCATCAAGCGTTCCTTTAATTACAACTATCATTTTTAGAATGGACCTACTGACACAATCCAGTATCATGCTACGGCGCCACACAATCCCCGCCAACAACGACCGCCACCCCATCGATCACCAAGCACCCAAACCAAAGTAAGTACTCACTCCGAGAAAAACGCCCATATCCGCCGATCGAGTCATTCCAGCCGTTGATCGTCTTACCTATGAACGAAAAACATTGATAATCGTCGCAGAAGCAAAGAAAATGACTTTTCTGAACGTTGTTTGAATTTTAGAGAGAGAGTGGACGACCGCGGCTTTACATTTTTGACTATCCTGGCTGCCATCGTATGTTATCATTTGTATGCTATTCCGGATAAGAGTTTATGGGCTGGTGATCTTCAATTGTCACCGGTGTTTTACTCTGTCGGCGGATTAGTTGGCCAAGGGTTGATAGCGATTTTATATGGAGCTCCGTATAGCGCAATCGTCATCAGTGGCATCGACTCATCGGTCGCTTTCATTCTTGGTTTGGCTAAACTTGCTGGTCTCTATGATTGGGTCGAAAAATGTATGGCTTTCATCAGCATCTACTACGTCGGGATTCGGTATTTGCTACGTTGCACTAGTGTCTTTCAAATTCGAAACATCCGGTACAAACTAGCGACGATAGCGCTTATTTTTCAATATATAGCTGTGTTATGTATCGTCATCATCCCTACCATGACGGACAAGTCTTTTATCGCCCGATGTGCATGCTGGGCAAGTGAGTGTATCGTGTGTGTATGTATTGGTTGTATACTCACGGTAAACGATGAGGATCCAACATTTCCGATTGTGTAAGTTTAACTGCGATAAATAAATTAGAGGAATAGATAGATTTTTAAAAAACTCAGTTTTTACTTACAGCTCAACTGAATCAGAAGACCACAAGAATTATGTTTCTGACGGATACGTCTTGAAAAATTTTGGGCTGAAGAAGAGTTTCTGAAATGATCAATCAATCATCATTTCGGTAATCATTCATTCGAATCTTTATCAAACCTGTTGGAACTGTTCCTTGTGGTCGATGTTCCAGCCAAACTTCACTCAAAGATCGCGATCGACGATGTTGCTATCGAGGATGAGCAACAACTGTATGTGTATAGGTTCGCTGTTTCGTGTATTGCAGATCTGAGAGATGATCATTTCAACTCGATGATACTGTTGTCCTTGATTTCGATAAATATCATCTGTCTCTGTTGACATGGGAATTACGGATTGTTCCTTCGAAAAATCATTGTTTCTTGCTATCGATCGGACGATATTCAGTTTGTCATCATGTTCTCGTCTACGTTCGCGCCTTTGAATTTTCTTATTTGGGTTTTGTTTACGATATCCTGATTTAAACCCGAAAAGAAGTTGAAAACAAAAATCGAAATACGGCTGTTATCCAGAAGAGCTGTACCATGCACAGATCAGTAGTCAAACAAATGATGTCGTTTATTCGATAGCACTCTCAATCAATTTTATTGACGCTGACGCAACATCGAAAAACATGTTGGAAATGAAAGGCAAATACAAACTCAAACGACTCCTTTGTCGTTAATCAATCATTCATTTTTGAATATTCATCTGCTATGGTAGACATCCGAGCGGCAGCAAAAGACATAGTTGTTCTTTTTGGTACGGCTCTTCTGGTGGTTGTTGTTGTCGTCACTGGTTTTCTTGTTGTTGAAGGAGGTGTGGATACTTTATTTTCAAACTGCAACGCTATCGGCAATTTTCTTTCCATAGAATCGAGCGTAAATGGTGTGTCGCAAAGAACATCAACTGCAAACTTAGCAAACGAATTCGGTTCAAAACAAGCTGGAACGATGTAATATTCTTCCTCACTCTTTAGATTTACTAATCTCGACACAGATCTAGCTCGAACAAATGCTGGATCTTCGCCAAATGTTTTTGAAACGATATAAATACCAATGGGATAATGCTCAGCTAGTGGAGTGTCTGCTTCAAATAATTGCTGAAGAATGATGCGAACAGCAGATGCACCTGATAGTGTGAGAAGATATGCAGGATTTTGATTGAACGTTGTTGCACTGGATTTTACTCTACGGCCGCCAGCATTCTCTCCACGCCATTCTCCTTGTAGACTTTGAGGTGTTTGTTGAAAAGCACTCGTCCATGTTCGTAATTCTAATGGTGCCAGTGATTGCTGGGAAAATATTTGTATCCAGAATGAACTGTGGATGTTTGGATAGAATGTTGACAGAACGATTGCATATTGTTGTTTTTGTTTCGATTCAACATCAATGGCCAGAGTCACTTCACGTTTATTCCAAAATTTCGATTGACAGACAACTTCGTAATTATCATGAGTAGAAATCGGATGAGACTTCAATTGAACGACAGTGATACCAATCTGTGCATAGTTCAGTTTCACATCTGCGGTTGTTCGTTGATGTCGTTGATCAACCATATGACCAAGAACTACGGTCAGTTTCTTTACAGACGCAGAAGGTAGAAGAATGAATGGATTACGATAAAACGTCGCATAATTAGAACAACCACCATCAGTTGTCGATGACCAATGACCAAATAATGTTTGTTGAGATTGAACAGACAGATGACATATCTGAACACGATTACAAGATTGCTTTAAATCAGACCATGCAAGTAATTGAGTTCCTGGTGTGTTGGACCATAGTGGACGACTTTTCGATATACTTTTGAAGAATGCCTAGAGAATAGATAGATATATCTATAAATACTTCTAACAAAAATCAGTAGTTGAATGGTTGCTTACATCTCGTGCCGGAATATTTTCATTTGATACATGATTGATGCCATGAGGATTATGAATGACAACGAACTTTTCTCGTGTCTTTTGATACACAAAAGTGGCCAAAATTGCATAGGCATGATTGACTACAAGTCCATTTGTAACGGTTGCTGTCGCAGTTTCATTCGTTGCAATGGCACCACAAGTCACCAATATGTTTTTTTCACTCAAACCTTTTTCGATCTTCTCCCAAATATCCGTTGCATTCGGCTCAAATTCTTCGACTGGTTTCCCCAGTAGATCATACATTGCTTCAGATGTATTTCCTCCAGCCAAATTTTCGTATCGGTCTCCATAGAATCGAGCATAAGCTTGTTCAATCATATAGGGCCATTGCACATCCGTCATAGTTGAACGACAGTATTGATATTGATCCGACAATGGTTCTAATATGACTGGAATTTCGACGCGCTCACCTTGTCGATAGAAGAAACAGGTCAATGAAGAAGTCGAAATAATTGATTTTAGTAGATGTGGCTGACATGATGCTAGTGCTTGAAGTGATGCAATAAGAAAACAGTTTCCCAGTCGACCTTGAACAATATCACCATGATAAGGTTCACGATTAGATGGCCATATTCTCGAAGACATTGTGAAATGTTTTAACTAGTAAAAATTGATAGAGAATGCTATAAAAGAAAGGCTTTTATGCTTTTATTTATTCTTATCAATTATCTTCGAAGACTAAAAATAGTAGAACTTTTATCAAATGAATGATATGAGAACTCTTGAAATGAATACAAATTCTGAGAAAGAGAATCTGTATGCATATCTGATTTTCGAGTTATCACAGTCATTTCGCAATAGAAATACATCAATAAGATGAATAATACTTACTTTCTTTCTCAGTTATGTGTTTGCAACGATACGAAAGTAATTATTCAATTGTTTCTATGTACAAAATGACACAAATCAATACATACATGTATGTACGTCATGGATTTCATAATATTTCATTGAAGAAAAATTGTCGTTCAATGTGAGTCATATAAAAAATAACAAAAGAAAGAAATTGCTCGATTTTTCTTGATCACGTGTCTTTACACTGAATTCAGAACGACAAAATCCTTGTAAATGTCTAATGTCAACATCAGTTGTTCTCGTGCAGATCGTGCTTGATTCTCATTCGATCTTAGCTTTACTTCCTCTCAATATTTTAAAAGCGCTGAAACAAAATGAACTATTTGAGTAAAAACGATAGATGCTTGACAAGTATGTTATCGACAATACAATATTTCCCGTTGTGTCAAATGCCAAGATTGATGATGAAGCTGATGACTTATCATTCAGTTGAGCTGAAGAATGTCTGTACGAATAAAGCAGGTTGAACTTGATAAGGTGAACGATAAGATTGAGTAAAATTCGAATTAAATCGTTCAAAATGCAAAAGAAAAATATCAGCCGCTTTTTAGGGAAAACCGAAACAGTAGTCAAACTCAAAACTTGAATTCAGTTATTCAACTGTTCGAGTATTCATCACCTTACGACGCACCCTCAGTTGGATTCGAAGTTCCAAGTTATAAATCTATGCAGAAGTCTATTTTTATGATGTTCTTCTCAAGTTTCCAGTCAAGAAAAAATTTCAAAGGGAGGCAATTGCTTCCCCTCGTCCCCTAGTCATTGCCGCTGTTGTTCATCGTTATTTAGTTAATTTAAAATCGTATAGACTCATCAGTCAGATGAAATCATTTGAAAAAATAATTTTCGTGTCGTTTTCAATCGCATGACAAGACAATCCGTAGTTACGACCGCATACAAATGATTCATATTGGTATTTTTATGGAATGACCAATAGATTTACTTTATCATTCAGTCTGACTGACGAAATATCCCTTGATCTATCGATGTATATTCTTTTCTTCATTCTGTTTCTTTTCGACGAGTATATAAATTCGTTCGATTTCGTCTATGTATACGCATTCAAATGAAGAAAACACAGCTTGGTTCACGTGATTTACTAGCCAACGGTGGTGGTTGTCCTGTTGAAGTGAGTCATCGATATCATTCGCTGGGCTTTGATTTGAAATTGTTGTTTTTCTTTTTCCTAAGGTGTTCTGNCAGATTTAAATTGTGTCGTTGGCATTTTATCGAAACACCTGTCAACAAGCCAAAAAGCAAGTAAAACGATGATAACTCGGCAACAACGACACGAGGGCACAAATCCTTTTAAGGTTTTTCATACCTCATTGGGGTCTACTTACTACCAAAAGATGGGATCTAAACTGCTTGAACACCTAAATATGTTCCCTCGTCAGTGACATAACTATGTGGATGATCTGTTTTATTCTAGACAAAAGATGATTTAACTATCAGTACAATCCATTTGGTCGATCTCGCTGGTAGTGAACGTGTTAATCGAGCGAAGACAGTTGGTGAACGAGTGAAAGAAGCGGGCAATATCAATTCATCACTGATGGTTCTTCGACAATGTTTTGAAACTCTTCGAGAAAATCAATCACAAGGAATCAGCAAGGTAATGTTGACTTTCTCTCGTGCATGGTCTTCATCTGTGTTTGTTGTAGATGGTTCCATATCGGGAATCGAAGTTGACATCGTTTTTCAAAAGCTACTTTGATGGTGAAGGTCGCATTCGAATGATCCTTTGTGTGAATCCAACTGTCGATGGATATGAAGAAATTCAAGTAGATCTCTCGTGTTGAATATCTTGTAACCACTCATCTGAATTGTTTTATACTTTCAGCATGCACTAAAATTCGGCGAATTGACAAAAGACGTCATGGTGCCACGTTCTTTACCTCCTCCACCGCCACCACCAGTTCTACCTAAATCAAATCGCACTCCAACTGCTGGTGTTGTCCTTCGTGACATTGACAATCAACAACAGTCGAGCGCACAGCCAATTCTTTTCACTGAGTTCAAGTGAGTTCATGATATCGATGGAATTTTTGAGTGATGGAATGTATTGTAGTGCTCAAGCGTTGATCTCTCCATTTCCACCACTCGAATATTCTTTGCTGGATGGAGCTGGTGATGATGAGTCGATTTCAGTTCTTCAAGAACATCTTCGACGACGGATGGAAGAACGACAGCGGTTAAATATGGTTTGCAGTCATAAACAGTTCTTCAACTAGCATCTCTTTTTGTGTTTACATTAGCTCATCCAAGAACAGCAAGAGTTCTTACGCAAGTTTACTCTTGAATTGGTGTCAGACTACGATTCGACCATGTCGAACCAAGATGATCTGTCCAAAGAAAATGATCAACAAACAAAAACCATTCGTCATCTACAAACACGTATTAAACTATTGGAAAAGTCCCAAAATGACTTGTTGAAAACAACAAATCAAACTGAACGTGAAAACAAAGCATTGAAGTTACAAGTACTGTGTTAATTTCTTTTCCGAAGTCCTGAATGCATAGATTCGTGAGTGTTTAGATTGAAGAACGAAACAATGAAATCAAAGCATTAAAAACCGAACGACGGAAGGATAAGAATGATTTCGAAAACAAAATGAAAATCAAACTGAATGAAGTGGAACAACAATATGTAAGGAGAAAAGACTTTTCTGTGGATTTATTCTCGTTGTTTGTGTTTGGAGATGAATGAAATCAGAACTAAGGACATTCGAATGCGTGAACTTGGCCGACAACACGACGATAAACTAAACATTATCCGATCGATGGCAACAAACAATGGCTGTTCGAATGAACAATTCGTGATTCCTGTCAATCAATCATCAACACCGTTCGTATTGAAGACATTCATTGCAAACATCTTCTAAATCACGGGATTATTTGTAGAAATGCAGCTGATAATGTTTATCAAAATCAAGGACAACAGTATCATCGTGTCGAAATGATCATCTCTCAGAACTGCAATACACCAGTGGAGCGCCCTAATCCTCATACACCAAACACCGAACCAATGCACATTGACAATAGCCATACACATGCAGTTGTTGCTCATCCTCGACAGCAACATCGTCGATCACGATCTTTGAGTGAAGTTTGGCTGGAACATCGACCACAAGGAACAGTTCCAACAGGTTTGATAAAGACTCGAATGAATGATCATCAAAATGATGATTGATTTATCATTTCAGAAACTCTTCTTCAACCGAAGTTCAATAAGAAAGTGTGTACACAAAAAGCACCGGCAAAGGATGAAATCATCCGAACAACGAAGTACGTGTTGACACATCAGAATCTGGATGCACAAGGTGAAATTGTCACTGACTTCGTCAAAGTAAGCTGCGGAGATGAAGAAGCAAATTTAATCGCCCCTTGTTTGATCTGTTAGGGTGATGTTCTTCCATCGAGCACTGGTGGAGTGAATGTGATTTTCAATGATGTTGAGCGACTGACATGTACATCACCACCAGATCCTCTGGTATTGCACAAACGATGTCAAAGTGAAGAACGAGTTCTTCGAGAAGTAACATCAACGAATACACCATCTCCTTCGTCTCGTCAGGGTCCAGCTGTAGCACCCAAGTAAATGAACATCTTGTTTAAAGTTATTTAGAGTATCTTGATGGTTTTCTTTTTGTTTTAGACGATTTCGTATGTGAAGAAACAAGAAAGGAATTGTTCTTTACCTAATTTGTCTGTTTACATTCTAATTTCTATGTATTTTCGTCTTCCTAATTCTCTGACTAATTGTATGTGTGTCTTATAGAAATGTGAATTTATTCTTGTCGAAAAAGAAGAAAAGCTGAGCGAATGAACATAGTATGTTAAATTTATACACAAGTGAAATACATATTCGTCGGATCTGTCATGAACTTTGTATGAAACAAATCGATGAAGAGAAAAAGGAAAAGTGGGCTCGTAGCGTCTTGTATTCAGCTGAGTAAACATGGGTGTGCTTGTGCTATTACTATAGAACCAAGAGAATTCGTTTCGGAAGTTGACGGAGGTATAATGAATGTCATATCATGTTCAATCGAATTAAAACACATGATTGTTGTTCGGACGAGAAATTTTTGTTATTTCTTATGTTATAATCATCATAGTCAATTCAAATATTGATTGCTGAACACAAGAGGGAGAAAGAAAGGTCTTTCCTTTTCCTTCGTTTCTATTCACGATAATAAAAGCTATCAAGAACGAAAGGTTGAATTACACAAACTTGGTTTGAATTATATTAAAAATGTGTGAGAAACTTTTACCGTTCATATAGAAAAATGATTGGTTATCATGTAGTTACGAAAATTGAAAGTGCAAGTTTTTGTCGAGTGTTTGTGATCAAAGTATCATTTCAAAGCTTCTTAATATGCGTTGTTCTATGGAATTAAACGGTTTTTTTTTCGCTAGTAGGCCGAAACTTCAAAACGAGAATCGTCTACAAGCGGAAAGTTAGATGTACGCCAAAGAAAAAGCTAAGTTTCACAGAAATATGAACTATTGATTGTTTCCAGTGTGACTTTGATTTTCACACTAAACTTTTTGTTGACTTTTATTTATGACGCCTCATAAGTAGTACTGATTTAATCACTGTTATCTGTCTTAATCTTCTTCATATCTGATAATAACGAGGTGATTCCATATGACACAGTGGTTCTGTACGCTGTGAAAGCTTTCCAAGAACGGACAAATGTACGGTAGACTGTGGTTGGTTTAAAAGAATAAACTCATCTCGTGTCATTATATTCACATCATCAGTCAATACAGAACATAATCGTTACATTATAATAGTTTACCTTGAAAGATTTTTTATTATACAAATGTGAGTGTGTATCGAATCAGTTCTAGACTCTGAAATAACGAGAGTGTGAGCGAGATTGACAGCTGCATCACACACAATTGAAGGTCATCATCTTTATCAGTGAAAAGTTTTGTTCTCTTTTATATAGAAGATTTGCAAATCAAAAGATTCTGTGCAACGATTAATGATACAAGCAATGAAATGAACATGCCATCAAAGATAGAACATCACTTTAAGATCATTCATATAGAAGTCGCCTGAAAACCTTTGTTCTTCATATAAGTGAAATGACTGTCAATAGTATATGGATATGAGATTGAGTAGGGTGATTTTGTATTTAACATGTACTCATTTGAATGAAGAAACACAAAAAACAACGGTAAATATACAATTTAATAGCGATCGAATGAACTTATTGTTACAAACATTGTCCAGCTCCGATACTATGACAAACAGGAGTTTGCGAAAGGATAATGATGAAGATTTCGTGTTGCACCATGTCAGACTATTTCCACTCGTAGGATGGTTGTGTTGTCGGCAGGTTCAGTTGATCCACCATCGACTTCGATTGGTGCATGATTAGAGTTGTTATCATTTGTGTTCAAAGGGAGATGGCAGTCTCTACCCTGTGGCGTCAGACTTAATACGATACAGTAGAGAATCGCACCAGGAAAGATTAGAAATTCAAATGTATGATTGTGAAAACAACTATCATAATGAACTCTGTATGTAATAAAGACAAAAGCCACGGCGTAAAACGTCCATAGAGTACGAACAACGAGACGACTGTGTTTTCCATCTATTTTAAAAGCGAACTGTAAGATAAAAGCAATCATTACCATGGATACTGACACGGTAATTCGATTGTGCAAAAGAATATCATCAGGTACACAGTATTTTAAAATTTCTGGATCTGTCGACTGTAAGACAGAACAACAAAGTTCGTCATAAGGAATTCCACATGTCGGAAGCTCAGAATTGACATCTGTTTGATTCGCCAGGCGTGAACGCGCCACTAAGCGGTGAGTCTCATCAATACATATTAGAACTGAGAAGAACACAAGGTAAACGCCCATATAAAGTAAGAAAGATGTTAAAACATAATTATGCTTTGCTCGGGTGATATCACATTTGACTTTCATCTTGGTATTCGTCGGATAAATCTCAGTAACAACAATGAAATCGAAGTTTGTTGGATTGAATGAATAGAGGTAGATCTGAAATGAAATAAGAATTACATGTAGAAAAAAGAACTATATCGTAAAGAACGTTCGAGTAAATGAATGAGAAGTATTAGAATGGCATAATCTAAGTGCTAGATTCAATCGTATTATGAACAAATCATTACTACTGGAACGAAAATGAAGAAAGTTAAACATGAAAACTGGTCCTTTTTTAATATAAATTCAAGAACATGTGCGCTTGAAAAGAGTATGAGACAGTGCATACACTTCTAATCAAGATGAAATCATCTGGTTGGAAACAACAAATGAAAGTATTCTTTTTTCTTTTCATTCTAACTTCACTACAGATACTATATTCGCAAAATAGCTGAACAAATACTTACCTCTCGCAATTGATACCGTTCATCATACGTCTCATAGGGAGATAGATGATTTATTTTGATAGCATGTTATAGATGAAATAAAAATCTGTCAAATTTCACAAAAGAAACGTCGACATTTCAAATATTGATCAATCATATTGGATGGTTCGTGTCAAGTTGCCATACTCGCTTTGTAATGCGAAATAAAACCAGTTTAACTTCAATCACGTTTAATTATCAACAGATATTTAGATCTGATTGATTTCACGGAATGGAATAGCATCATACTAATGAACTGTAAACGTAGAAGAAAAAGTGCACTATTCTATATGGTCAACATGCACAAAAGACGACGAGGTCAAAGTCAAAATAGATAATGAAGGAAAACAAGGCAATATAGATAGCATATGAATATCAGATTGAGTCGAGTGACATTGTATTTGACATGAATTCATTTGAATGAAGAAACAAAAACAACAACGGTAAATCTACAATTTAATAGTGATCAAATGAACTTATTGTTACAAACATTGTCCAGCTCCAATACTATGATAAACAGGAGTTTGCGAAAGGATAATGATGAAGATTTCGTGCTGCACCATGTCAGAGTATTTCCACCCATAGGATGAGTCTGTTGTCAGCAGGTTCAGCCGGTCCATCGTCTACTTCGATTGATGCATGATTAGAGTTGTTATCATTTCTATGCAAGGGGAAACTGCGCTCTGTACCCTCTAACATAAAATTGACTACGATAGTAAATGGAGGCCCAGCAGAAAGATTCATTAATAGAAATGTATGATTGTGAAAACAACTATCATGATGGATTCCATATGTAATAATGACAAGAGCAAACGCGCAAATCGTCCACAGAGTACGAACAGCGAGACGACTGTGTTTTCCATCTATTGTAAAAGCAAATTGCAAGAAAAGAACAATCATTACCATGAATACCGGGACTGAAATTCGACTGAGCATAAGAAGATTGTCAGTGAAGCAGTGTTTCAAAATTTCTGGATCAGTCGATTGTAAGACAGAACAACGAAGCTCGTCATAAGGAATTCCACAGACTGGAATCTCAGGAATGTCGTTTGTTTGGTTGCTCAGACGAGAACGAGCCACTGAGCGATGAACGTTGTTAAGACGCAATTGAAGTGAGTGAAACATACCAGTAGCAACCATAAGAACTAAACAAAATACCATTGCATAGTCTTCGTGTGCACGCGGAATATCATATTTGATTTTCATCTCGATATTTGTCGGATCAATCTCAGTAACAAGAATAGAATCGAAGTTTGTTGGATTGAGTCAATAGAGATAGATCTGAAATGAAATAAGAATTACATGTAGAAAAAAGAACTATATCGTAAAGAACGTTCGAGTAAATGAATGAGAAGTATTAGAATGGCATAATCTAAGTGCTAGATTCAATCGTATTATGAACAAATCAATACTACTGGAACGAAAATGAAGAAAGCTAAACATGAAAACTGGTCCTTTTTTTAATAAATGCAAGAACATGTGCGCTTGAAAAGAGTATGAGACAGTGCATACACTTCTAATCAAGATGAATTCATCTTGTTGAAAACAACAAATGCCAATATTCTATTTTCTTTTCATTCTAACTTCGCTGCAAGTACTATGTTTGCCATGTAGCTAAACGAATACTCGCCTGTCTCAATTGATAGTGTTCATCATACCTGGTATAGAGAGATAGATGATTTATTTTGATAGCATGTTATAGATGAAATAGAAAAATCTGTCGAGAGATGTCTTACGAAAAGTACTTCAACATTTCAAATACTGATGAATCACATTAGATGGTCTGCGTCAAGGTGTCGTATTCGGTACATAGTGTGAAATACAGCCAGTTTGACTCCGGTGATGGTCAGTTATCGAGAGATGCTAACATCTGACTGGTCTTGATGGGATGGAATGCGATCACGCTGCAAAAAGGTCAGTATATATGTAGCCAATATCCACAAAGGACAATGAAGACAAGGCAGAAGAGAAAGAATTCTGCTTTCTGCAAATCAAATTAACAACAGTCTAGTTTCTGATAGGATATTATGTTAGCCTCTCATGATAGATCACATTGAACATATACAACTAACACGCAGATGTTAGATTAGATATCGCGCTCGATATATGCTCTTTGGCTCCGTCACCATAGTTCTGGATGCAAAACTTGAAAAGTCTTTGATTGATTCGATTAAATGTAATGAAACTTTCTGATTATGCTCTTTTGGTTGATGATATGTGTATTTACATAAAAGACTGATCGACTTTTCCATCGCAGTTGATGTTACAATTTTGTCAAATATCAGGTAGACTGTATGAAATCAATGAAGTGTCACTTGAGATTTTAAAATACCTCTTCTACGTAGCGAAAGAACTCGGAAACTGTCGCACCGTTTGTGAACAAAGGCTTACCGGTGGAAAATAAAACTATCCAAGTGATCCGAAACTTGACTTATTGTTGTTAAGAAAGGTGGATTTGGAGAGAGACGGAGCTCAGCTTCGAAGACCTTATCCGTTATTGGAAAGCCATCAGTTCCCGAGGAGCATTTTCAACAAACTGAGCATCCAGCTCGGATTCCCCCTATTTGCGTCAGCACTACATACATTCAGTTCGATTTGAGAACACAGTGGTTATGCTTCATGTTACACGAACTTTCATGTTTTGTGTACCAGATTATTTTGTGTCGATCGGAGCAAATTGAGCAGAGGTTTCGGTCATTTTATTTGCTAGGTGTGACCCGATATTGCTGAAAGTACCACAACTACATCGTGTTCCTTTCGTGTGCAGTTGAGATGAGGGAAGCGGTGCAAACAAATGTCACACTAGAATTGAAAGGAAATGTTTTCAGAAGATTTTTGTGTCAGCGTATATCTCACTATTGCACTTGAATCGAGTAGAAGTCGTATTGATAAATTTTGGTACAAAAATCGTATTGATGCAATGAAGCAATGGTTGTCTTTTGCTTTCACTCTATCATATCGTTGGTAAAGAACGTAAACTATAGTATGAAAGATCCGTGGATTCGAAGAATAGTTTATTTGAAAAAGCATGCATAGGTGTATCACTACATACACAGAGTTCTTTATGTGTAACCTACAGTAATGGAAGTTCTTTGAGTGAATTCCGAATTTAACTCGATTATTTAAACATATAAGACAACAATCGTAACTGGAATATTACATGGTATTCTTTCAAGATCTTCTAGGTTCAAATAGTGTAGAAAAGGTAGATTATCAAATGATTTGTAGAGTTCGTTGGAAAACCAAAACAATTATTGAGTATGCATTTGAACAAGACAAATGTCTATTACTGTTTAGACTGATTACTGATCGGATGGTTATTCTTAGAACAAGAACATGTTTCTTTTATCTAGATTCAATGCAAATGCACTTTTCTTTAGCGAAATGAATATCACTTAACCAGTAATAGAGAAAAGACGTTGAAAACGTTTTTCATAGAAAGAATTATGAAATTATTTTTGTATTTTCGTAACTCTAATTTACCGTTAGTGAAGAAAGACTGAGGCACTCTGAATTGCCTCCAGTGCGACTAAACCGCTAAAATCCAATTTGATATGGTGAATGTTACGGATGAGTAATTTCCATAATCGAAGTTTTGATCTTGATCGAACTCAGAGTCATATTTGCAGAGAGTTTTGCACAATCGTACAGGATCATCTCTGGCTACAGTTTGAGTTTAAACTTTGAATCTTGCAAAATCAAATCAATGTCAAGCTCACTAATGGATGAATTATGAGTTCTTTGAAAGTCCATTAAAAATATCCTCATACGTTGTCGTCATTGTTTCAATTAGATGATCTTCTTCGAAGGAGAGACGATGTGTACATTTCTTCTTCCCGAAATCATAATCTAAAGCTGCAAAATCTCTTAACGTGTAAAACAATCGGTCCATCGAATAGTTTCGATCTGATTCCACGCTCATTCGATGTCGTTTTGAATTCGGTTGAATCTTATCGTGACAAAAAAATACGTTCGCTTGATTTTCCATTTGTTTCATTTTCATCAGTACTCATCATTTAGCTTTTACGCTCTGGTCGACAAAACAGTTACTGAATGCAAAGCGAACTCGATATCTTACGTGGATGTCAACGTCGAGAGATTCAAGCGATCAGAAATGGTAACAATCAACGTGCCAAGTAGAGAACAAATCTTTCATATGTTTCGATTGGAGAAACAGATAATTACGTTTAGCCTTGTTGAAATACACAATACTCGCACTCACACGTTAGATTCCACGGCATTGCACAATCCACAACTGAATGGAAATCCATCTGATTTTGTGTTCGTGACCTTTGTTGAGACGTATAACAACTACATTTATGATTTGTTTGATGACGATATTCTCAACAAGTGCGACAGTTTCAAATTCAAACACATGATGAAGTTATTGTTTCTCGGTTTCATTACAGAGCACCTCAATTGAAACAACAGCTTGAAGATAACCGTGGTCGACCAAACATCAGAGATGTGAAAGAAATCGAAGTTCGGTCGAGTGAACAAGCCATCGAGCTGTTAAATATGGTGGGTTTGAAGCGACGTCGAATTGCACATACACAACTCAACACAGAGTCAGGTCGTGCACACAGTGTTGTTTCGATGCGTCTTGTACAGTTTCAAAATGACATTCCACCAACATCACCCGTAAGTCATTGAACTCACTCAGATGATTCTGTAGATCACCTGTTGTATCCTAGACAAAAGATGATTTGATCATCAGCACAGTCCATTTAGTTGATCTCGCTGGAAGTGAACGTGTTAATCGAGCGCAAACAGTTGGTGAACGAGTGAAAGAAGCAGGCAACATCAATTCATCACTGATGGTTCTTCGACAATGTTTCGAAACTCTTCGAGAAAATCAATCACAAGGAATCAGCAAGGTAATCTTGACGTCGGTGAAGTTAGCACCATATTCGAGTAAAAGCTTTCCATATTCGTTTAGGAATGCGTTCCAACCGTTCCAATCAGCGTTCCAAGTAGAACTCGGCGAGCTCTATCTAATGGTGTGTTTATATTTTCCGTAGTTGAAACGATAGTTAAAAAAATTACAAAATACTNCATAAGCTTGTTCAATCATATAGGGCCATTGCACATCCGTCATAGTTGAACGACAGTATTGATATTGATCCGACAATGGTTCTAATATGACTGGAATTTCGACGCGCTCACCTTGTCGATAGAAGAAACAGGTCAATGAAGAAGTCGAAATAATTGATTTTAGTAGATGTGGTTGACATGATGCTAATGCTTGAAGTGATGCAATAAGAAAACAGTTTCCCAGTCGACCTTGAACAATATCACCATGATAAGGTTCACGATTCGATGGCCATATTCTTGAAGACATTGTGAAATGTTTTAACTAGTAAAAACTGATAGAGAATGCTATAAAAGAAAGGTTTTTATGCTTTTATTTATTCTTATCAGTTATCTTCGAAGACTAAAAATAGTAGAACTTTTATCAAATGAATGATATGAGAACTCTTGGAAAGAATACCGATTCCGAGAAAAGAATCTGAATGCATACCTGATTTTCGAATTATCACAGTCATTTCACAATAGAAATACATCAATAAGATGAATAATACTTACTTTCTTTCTCAGTTATGTGTTTGCAACGATACCAAAGTAATTATTCAATTGTTTCTATGTATAAAATGACACAAATCAATACATACATGTATGTACGTCATGGATTTCATAATATTTCATTGAAGAAAAATTGTCGTTCAATGTGAGTCATATAAAGAACAACAAAAGAAAGAAATTGCTCGATTTTTCTTGATCATGTGTTCTTGCACTGAATTCAGAACGACAAAATCCTTGTAAATGCCTATAATGTCAACATCAGTCGTTCTCGTGGAGATCGTATTTGATTCTCATTCGATCTTAGCTTTACTTCCTCTCTATATTTTAAAAGCGCTGAAACAAAATTAATCATTTGAGTAAAAACGATAGATGCTTGACATATATGTTATCGACGATACAATATTTCCCGCAGTGTCAAATGTCAAGATTGATGATGAAGCTGATGACTTATCATTTAGTTGAGCTGAAGAATGCCTGTACGAAGAAAGCACACGATTAATGTTGAACTTGGCTAAGTGAACGATAAGATTGAATAAAATTCGAATTAAATCGTTCAAAATGAAAAAGGAAAATATAAGCTGCTTTTTAGGGAAAACGGAAACAGTAGAGTCAAACTCAAAATTTAATTCAATTATTAAACTGTTCGAGTATTCATCACCTTACGACGTACCCTCAGTTGGATTCGAAGTTCCAAGTTATAAATCTATGCAGAAGCCTATTTTTATTATATTCTTCTCAGGTTTCCAGTCAAGAAAAAATTTCAAACGGAGGCAATTGCTTCCCCTCGTCCCCTAGTCATTGCCGCTGTTGTTCATCGTTATTTAGTTAATTTAAAATCGTATAGACTCATCAGTCAGATGAAATCATTTGAAAAAATAATTTTCGTATCGTTTTGAATTGCATGACAAGACAATCCGTAGTTACGACTGCATGCAAATGATTCATATTGGTATTTTTATGGAATGACCAATAGATTTACTTTATTATTCAGTCTGACTGACGAAAGGATCCCTTGATCTATCGATGTATATTCTTTTCTTCATTCTGTTTCTTTTCGACGAGTATATAAATTCGTTCGATTTCGTCTATGTGTACGCATTCAAATGAAGAAAACACAGCTTGGTTCACGTGATTTACTAGCCAACGGTGGTGGTTGTCCTGTTGAAGTGAGTCATCGATATCATTCGCTGGGCTTTGATTTGAAATTGTTGTTTTTCTTTTTCCTAAGGTGTTCTGCCGATTACGACCACCGAAAGACTCAAATAATGATCAGCAACAAACAGAGAACTCATCGTCATGCATCAAAGTAGCGAGTTCAACAGAATTAGTTCTCTATTCATCTGAAGTCAGTAATTCAACCTTTCTTACAACCAATTCTATAGAAGTTTTTATTTTATTTTAGAATGCGAAGAGTGGAGCCATTCGAGAAGTAGATGATTTGTTTGAATTATGTCATTTGTTCATGACTTCTTTCTTTTTGTTTTAGTCCCGTTATGAATTCAGTCATATTCTTACAGATAATGTTTCTCAATTAGCCGCGTTCAAAGAACTAGCATTGCCTTTACTGGATGACCTGATACAAGGAAAAAATAGTATATATTCTCTTGTGTCTCTTTTCTGCAATGATAATGTGAAATGTTAAGGTGTCCTATTTACATATGGAATCACCGGTTCCGGCAAAACTTACACAATGATGGGACCATTGAATAATCCCGGTCTGATTCCACGCTCATTCGATGTCGTTTTCAATTCAATTGGATCTTATCTTGGCAAAAAATATGTTCGTTTGCGCCTCCACTCACTTGTTCTTCATTTTTTTCATCCGTATTCATCATTTAGCTTCTACGCTCTGATCGACAAAACAGTTACGAAATTCAAAGCGAAGCCGATATTTTACTTGAACGTCAACGTCGAGAGATTCAAGTGATCAGAAATGGAAACAATCAACGTGCCAAGTAAATAACAACTCTTTTACACGTTACAATTAAGAAAAAAGATAACCATGTTTAGAGTTGCTGAAACGTACAACACTCGTACATTAGATTCCACGGCATTGCATAATCCACAACTCAATGGAAATTCATCTTATTTTGTCTTTGTTACCTTTGTTGAGATTTATAATAATTACATTTACGATTTGTTTGATGACGATATTCTCAACAAGTGCGACAGTTTCAAAGAAATCATGAGGTCATTTGTCTTTTGGTTTCATTATAGAGCACCACAATCAAAACAGCTGCGTGAAGATAATCGTGGTCGACCATATATCAGGGATGTGAAAGAAATCGAAGTTCGATCGAGTGAAGAGGCCATCGAGTTGTTGAATATGGGTTTGAAACGACGTCGAATTGCACATACACAACTCAACACAGAGTCAAGTCGTTCACACAGTGTTCTTTCAATGCGTCTTGTACAGTTTCAAAATGATATTCCACCAACATCACTCGTAAGCCATTGAACTCAGTGACATGACTCTGTGGATGATCTGTTTTATTCTAGACAAAAGATGATTTAACTATCAGTACAATTCATTTGGTCGATCTCGCTGGTAGTGAACGTGTTAATCGAGCGAAGACAGTTGGTGAACGAGTGAAAGAAGCAGGCAACATCAATTCATCACTGATGGTTCTTCGACAATGTTTTGAAACTCTTCGAGAAAATCAATCACAAGGAATCAGCAAGGTAATCTTGACTTTCTTTCATACATGATCTCATGATGTGTTTGTTGTAGATGGTTCCATATCGTGAATCGAAGTTGACATCGTTTTTCAAAAGCTACTTTGATGGTGAAGGTCGCATTCGAATGATCCTTTGTGTGAATCCAACTGTCGATGGATATGAAGAAATTCAAGTAGATCTATCATGATGAATATCTCGTAATCACTTATCTGAGTTGTGTTATACTTTCAGCATGCATTGAAGTTCGGTGAATTGACAAAAGACGTGATGGTGCCACGTTCTTTACCTCCTCCACCGCCACCACCAGTTCTACCTAAATCAAATCGCACTCCAACGGCTGGTGTTGTCCTTCGTGACATTGACAATCAACAACAGTCGAATGCACAGCCAATTCTTTTCACTGAGTTCAAGTGAGTTCATGATATCGATGAAATTTGTGAGTGATGGAATGTATCGTAGTGCTCAAGCGTTGATCTCTCCATTTCCACCACTCGAATATTCTTTGCTGGATGGAGTTGGTGATGATGAGTCGATTTCGGTTCTTCAAGAACATCTCCGCCGACGGATGGAAGAACGACAACGATTGAATATGGTTTGCATTCATGAACAGTTCTTCAACTAACATCTCTTTTTGTGTTTGCTTTAGCTCATCCAAGAACAGCAAGAATTTTTGCGCAAGTTTACTCTTGAATTAGTGTCAGACTACGATTCGACCATGTCGAACCAAGATGATCTGTCCAAAGAAAATGATCAGCAAACAAAAACCATTCGTCATCTCCAAACACGTATTAAACTATTGGAAAAGTCACAAAATGATTTGTTGAAAACAACAAATCAAACTGAGCGTGAAAACAAAGCATTGAAGTTACAAGTACTGTTTTGATTTCTTTTCCTGAATGCATAGATTCGTGGGTGTTTAGATTGAAGAACGAAATAATGAAATCAAAGCATTAAAAACCGAACGACGGAAGGATAAGAATGATTTCGAAAACAAAATGAAAATCAAACTCAACGAACTTGAACAACAATATGTAAGAAGAGAAGACTTTTCTGTGGATTTATTCTCGTTGTTTGTGTTTGGAGATGAATGAAATCAGAACTAAGGACATTCGAATGCGTGAACTTGGTCGACAACACGACGATAAACTAAACATTATCCGATCGATGGCAACAAACAATGGTTGTTCGAATGAACAATTCGTGATTCCTGTCAATCAATCATCAACACCGTTCGTATTGAAGACATTCATTGCAAACATCTTCTAAATCACGGGAATATTTGTAGAAATGCAGCTGATAATGTTTATCAAAATCAAGGACAACAGTATCATCGAGTTGAAATGATCATCTCTCAGAATTGCAATACACCAGTGGAACGCCCTAATCCTCATACACCAAATACTGAACCAATGCACATTGACAATAGCCATACACATGCAGTTGTTGCTCATCCTCGACAGCAACATCGTCGATCACGATCTTTGAGTGAAGTTTGGCTGGAACATCGACCACAAGGAACAGTTCCAACAGGTTTGATAAAGATTCGAATGAATGATTACCGAAATGATGATTGATTGATCATTTCAGAAACTCTTCTTCAACCAAAGTTTCACAAAAAAGTGTGCACACAAAAAGCACCGGCGAAAGATGAAATCATCCGAACAACGAAATACGTGTTGACACATCAGAATCTTGATGCACAAGGTGAAATTGTCACTGACTTCGTCAAGGTAAGCTGCGAAGATGAAGAAGCAAATTTAATCACCCCTTGTTTCATTTGTTAGGGTGATGTTCTTCCATCAAGTACTGGTGGAGTGAATGTGATTTTCAATGATGTTGAGCGACTGACATGTACATCACCACCAGATCCATTGATATTGCACAAACGATGTCAAAGTGAAGAACGAGTTCTTCGAGAAGTAATATCAACGAATACACCATCTCCTTCGTCTCGTCAGGGTCCAGCTGTAGCACCCAAGTAAATGAACATCTTGTTTAAAGCTATTTAGAGTGTTTTGATGATTTTCTTTTTGTTTTAGACGATTTCGTATGTGAAGAAACAAGAAAGGAATTTTTCTTTACCTAATTTGTCTGTTTACATTCTAATTTCTATGTATTTTCGTCTTCCTAATTCTCTGACTAATTGTATGTGTGTCTTATAGAAATGTGAATTTATTCTTGTCGAAAAAGAAGAAAAGCTGAGCGAATGAACATAGTATGTTAAATTTATACACAAGAGAAATACATGTTCATCGGATCTGTCATGAACTTTGTATGAAACAAATCGATGAAGAGAAAAAGGAAAAGTGGGTTAGTAGCGTCTTGTGTTCAACTGAGTAAACATGGGTGTGCTTGTGCTATTACTATAGAACCAAGAGAATTCGTTTCGGAAGTTGACGGAGGTATAATGAATGTTATATCATGTTCAATCGAATTAAACACATGATTGTTTTTCGGACGAGAAATTTTTGTTATTTCTTATGTTATAATCATCATAGTCAATTCAAATATTGATTGCTGAACATAAGAGGGAGAAAGAAAGGTCTTTCCTTTTCCTTCGTTTCTACTCACGATAATAAAAGCTGTCAAGAACGAAAGGTTGAATTACACAAACTTGGTTTGAATTATATTAAAAATGTGTGAGAAAATTTTATCGTTCATATCGAAGAATGTTTGGTTATCATGTAGTTACGAAAATTGAAAGTGCAAGTTTTTGTCGAGTGTTTGTGATCAAAGTATCATTTCAAAGCTTCTTAATATGCATTGTTCTATGGAATTCAACGGGTTTTTTTCGCTAGTAGGCCGAAACTTCAAAACGAGAATTGTCTACAAGCGGAAAGTTAGATGTACGCCAAAGAAAAAGCTAAGTTTCACAGAAATATGAACTATTGATTGTTTCCAGTGTGACTTTGGTTTTCACACTAAACTTTTTGTTGAGTTTTATTTATGACGCTTCATAAGTAGTACTGATTTAATCACTGTTATCTGTCTTAATCTTCTTCATATCTGATAATAACGAGGTGATTCCATATGACACAGTGGTTCTGTACGCTGTGAAAGCTTTCCAAGAACGGACAAATGTACGGTAGACTATGGTTGGTTTAAAAGAATAAACTCATCTCGTGTCATTATATTCACATCATCAGTCAATACAGAACATAATCGTCACATTATAATAGTTTACCTTGAAAGATTTTTTATTATACAAATGTTCGTGTATATCGAATCACTTCTAGACTCCGAAATAACGAGAGTGTGAGCGAGATTGACAGCTGCATCACACACAATTGAAGATCATCATCTTTATCAGTGAAAAGTTTTGTTCTCTTTTATATAGAAGATTTGCAAATCAAAAGATTCTGTGCAACGATTAATTATACAAGCACTGAAATGAACATGCCATCAAAGATAGAACATCACTTTAAGATCATTCATATAGAAGTCGCCTGAAAACCTTTATTCTTCATATAAGTGAAATGACTGTCAATAGTATATGGATATGAGATTGAATAGGGTGATTTTGTATTTAACATGTACTCATTTGAATGAGGAAACACAAAAAACAACGGTATATCTACAATTTAATAGCGATCAAATGAACTTATTGTTACGAATATTGTCCAGCTCCGATACTATGACCAACAGGAGTTTGCGAAAGGATAATGATGAAGATTTCGTGTTGCACCATGTCAGAGTATTTCCACTCGTAGGATGGGTGTGTTGTCGGCAGGTTCAGTTGATCCATCATCGACTTCGATTGGTGCATGATTAGAGTTGTTATCATTTGTATTCAAAGGGAGATGGCAGTCTCTACCCTGTGGCACCAGACTTAATACGATACAGTAGAGAATCGCACCAGGAAAGATTAGAAATTCAAATGTATGACTATGAAAACAACTATCATAATGAACTCTGTATGTAATAAAGACAAAAGCCACGGCGTAAAGCGTCCATAGAGTACGAACAACGAGACGACTGTGTTTTCCATCTATTTTAAAAGCGAACTGTAAGATAAAAGCAATCATTACCATGGATACTGACACGGTAATTCGATTGTGCAAAAGAATATTATCAGGTACACAGTATTTTAAAATTTCTGGATCTGTCGACTGTAAGACAGAACAACAAAGTTCGTCATAAGGAATTCCACATGTCGGAAGCTCAGAATTGACATCTGTTTGATTCGCCAGACGTGAACGCGCCACTAAGCGGTGAGTCTTACCAATACATATTAGAACTGAGAAGAACACAAGGTAAACCACCATATAAAGTAAGAAAGATGTTAAGATATAATCATGCTTTGCTCGGGTGACATCACATTTGACTTTCATCTCGATATTCGTCGGATAAATCTCAGTAACAACAATGAAATCGAAGTTTGTTGGATTGCATCAATAGAGATAGATCTGAAATGAAATAAGAATTACATGTAGAAAAAAGAACTATATCGTAAAGAACGTTCGAGTAAATGAATGAGAAGTATTAGAATGGCATAATCTAAGTGCTGGATTCAATCGTATTATGAACAAATCAATACTACTGGAAGGAAAATGAAGAAAGTTAAACATGAAAACTGGTCCTTTTTTAATATAAATTCAAGAACATGTGCGCTTGAAAAGAGTATGAGACAGTGCATACACTTCTAATCAAGATGAATTCATCTTGTTGAAAACAACAAATGCCAATATTCTATTTTCTTTTCATTCTAACTTCGCTACAGATGCTATATTCATAAAATAGCTGAACAAATACTTACCTCTCGCAATTGATAACGTTCATCATACGTGTCATAGGGAGATAGATAATTTATTTTGATAGCATGTTATAGATGAAATAAAAATCTGTCAAAAATATTTCACAAAAGAGACGTCGACATTTCAAATATTGATCAATCATATTGGATGGTTCGTGTCAAGTTGCCATACTCGCTTTGTAATGCGAAATGAAACCAGTTTTACTTCAATCAGGTTTAATTATCAACAGATATTTAGATCTGATTGATTTCACGGAATGGAATAGCATCATACTAATAAACTGTAAACGCAGAAGAAAAAGTGCACTATTCTATATGGTCAACATGCACAAAGGACGACGAGGTCAAGGTCAAAATAGATAATGAAGGAAAACAAGGCAATATGCATAGTATACGAATATGAGATTGAGTCGAGTGATATTGTATTTGGCATGAATTCATTTGAATGAAGAAACAAAAACAACAACGGTAAATATACAATTTAATAGCGATCGAATGAACTTATTGTTACAAACATTGTCCAGCTCCGATACTATGACAAACAGGAGTTTGCGAAAGGATAATGATGAAGATTTCGTGTTGCACCATGTCAGACTATTTCCACCCATAGGATGAGTCTGTTGTCAGCAGGTTCAGCAGGTCCATCGTCTACTTCGATTGATGCATGATTAGAGTTGTTATAATTTCTATGCAAAGGGAAACTGCGCTCTCTGCCCTCTAGCATAAAATTGACTATGATAGTAAATGGAGGCCCAGCAGAAAGATTCATTAATAGAAATGTATGATTGTGAAAACAACTATCATGATGGATTCCATATGTAATAATGACAAGAGCAAACGCGCAAATCATCCACAGAGTACGAACAACGAGACGACTGTGCTTTCCATCTATTGTAAAAGCAAATTGCAAGAAAAGAACAATCATTACCATGAATACCGGGACTGAAATTCGGCTGAGCATAAGAAGAGTGTCAGTGAAGCAGTGTTTCAAAATTTCTGGATCAGTCGATTGTAAGACAGAACAACGAAGCGCGTCATAAGGAATTCCACAGACTGGAATCTCAGGAATGTCGTTTGTTTGGTTGCTCAGACGAGAACGAGCCACTGAGCGATGAACGTTGTTAAGACGCAATTGAAGCGAGTGAAACATACCAGCAGCAAACATAAGAACTATACAAAATACCATTGCATAGTCTTCGTGTGCACGCGGAATATCATATTTGATTTTCATCTCGATATTCGTCGGATAAATCTCAGTAACAACAATGAAATCGAAGTTTGTTTGTTGGATTGAGTCGATAGAGGTAGATCTGAAATGAAATAAGAATTACATGTAGAAAAAAGAACTATATCGTAAAGAACGTTCGAGTAGATGAATGAGAAGTATTAGAATGACATAATCTAAGTGCTAGATTCAATCGTATTATGAACAAATCAATACTACTGGAAGGAAAATGAAGAAAGTTAAACATGAAAACTGGTCCTTTTTTAATATAAATTCAAGAACATGTGCGCTTGAAAAGAGTATGAGACAGTGCATACACTTCTAATCGAGATGGAATCATCTTGTTGAAAACAACAAATGCCAGTATTCTATTTTCTTTTCATTCTAACTTCGCTGCAAGTACTATGTTTGCAATGTAGCTAAACGAATACTCGCCTGTCTCAATTGATAGTGTTCATCATACCTGGTATAGAGAGATAGATGATTTATTTTGATAGCATGTTATAGATGAAATAGAAAAATCTGTCGAGAGATGTCTTACGAAAAGTACTTCAACATTTCAAATACTGATGAATCACATTAGATGGTCTGCGTCAAGGTGTCGTATTCGGTACATAGTGTGAAATACAGCCAGTTTGACTCCGGTGATGGTCAGTTATCGAGAGATGCTAACATCTGACTGGTCTTGATGGGATGGAATGCGATCACGCTGCAAAAAGGTCAGTATATATGTAGCCAATATCCACAAAGGACAATGAAGACAAGGCAGAAGAGAAAGAATTCTGCTTTCTGCAAATCAAATTAACAACAGTCCAGTTTCTGATAGGATACTATGCTAGCCTCTCATGATAGATCACATTGATCATATACAACTAACACGCAGATGTTCGATTAGATATTGCGCTCGATATATGCTCTTTGGTTCCGTCGCCATAGTTCTGGATGCAAAACTTGAAAAGTCTTTGATTGATTCGATTGAATGTAATGAAACTTTCTGATTATGCTCTTTTGGTTGATGATATGTGTATTTACATAAAAGACTGATCGACTTTTCCATCGCAGTTGATGTTACAATTTTGTCAAATATCAGGTAGATTGTATGAAATCAATGAAGTGTCACTTGAGATTTTAAAATGCCTCTTCTACGTAGCGAAAGAACTCGGAAACTGTCGCACCGTTTGTTAACAAAGGCTTATCGGTGGAAAATGAAACTATCAAAATGATCCGAAACTTGACTTCTTGTTGTTAAGAAAGGTGCATTTGGAGAGAGACGGAGCTCAGCTTCGAAGACCTTATCCGTTATTGGAAAGCCATCAGTTCCCGAGGAGCATTTTCAACAAGCTGAGCATCCAGCTCGGATTCTCCCTATTTGCGTCAGCACTACATACATTCAGTTCGATTTGAGAACACAGTGGTTATGCTTCATGTTACATGAATTTTCATGTTTTGTGTACCAGATTATTTTGTGTCGATCGGAGCAAATTGAGCAGAGGTTTCGGTCATTTTATTTGCTAGGTGTGACCCGATATTGCTGAAAGTACCACAACTACATCATGTTCCTTTCGTGTGTAGTAAAGATGAGGGAAGCGGTGCAAACAAATGTCACACGAGAATTGAAAGGAAATGTTTTCAGAAGATTTGTGTCAGCGTATATCTCACTATTGTACTTGAATCGAGTAGAAGTCGTATTGATAAATTTTGGTACAAAAATCGTATTGATGCAATGAAGCAACGGTTGTCTTTTGCTTTCACTCTATCATATCGTTGGTAAAGAACGTAAGCACTATAGTATGAAAGATCCGTGGATTCGAAGAATAGTTTATTTGAAAAAGTATGCATAGGTGTATCACTACGTACACAAAGTTCTTTATGTGTAACCTGCAGTAATGGAAGTTCTTTGAGTGAATTCCGAATTTAACTCGATTATTTAAACATATAAGACAACAATCGTAACTGGAATATTACATGGTATTCTTTGAAGATCTTCAAGTTCAAATAGTGTACAAAAGGTAGATTATCAAATGAATTGTAGAGTTCGTTGGAAAACCAAAACAATTATTCAGGATGCATTTGAACAAGACGAATGTCTATTACTGTTTAGACTGATTACTGATCGGATGGTTATTCTTAGAACAAGAACATGTTTCTTTTATCTAGATTCAATGCAAATGCACTTTTCTCTAGCGAAATCAATATCACTTAACCAATATTAGAGAAAATACGTTGAAAACGTTTTTCATAGAAAGAATCATGCAATTATTTTGTGTATTTCCGTAACTCCAACTTACCTTTAGTGAAGAAAGACTGAGACACTCGAGGGTGAGGGTGTGTTCTGTTTTATTCTAACTTAACTCTATCTCCAGGATGAAGAAATTTTCAGCGTGTTATTTCTTCTCCCGAACTGTGTCGTATTCTCTTATCCAATAATTTCTGTAACAATTAACTTTCGCGTATCGATCAATTTTCATAGACGTGTGGAAGAGGCGTTTTCAAATTTCAAGTGACACTATATTGACTTCATACAGTCCACTTGACATTCGACGAAATTGTGAATAAACTACAATGAAAAAGCAAATCATTCTTTCATGGGCTATTTGCGCTTTTCTCTTTGTGTGTGTTGGTTGCGGGGTTTATTATGACAGTTGTTTTCATTACAGAATATCTGAACTTTTTATTATTACTACCGTGATTTCCTCATGGGCTCTATGGGTGCATATAATAAACTGTATGACGCGTCGTTCTTCCTCTCACAACAACGATGGTACTTTCGATCTTGAATCAATCGAAGTCGACAACAGAATCATCGTATGGAGAAAAATACTCTGACATGATGAAATACACGTTCCTCACCATAATTCGCTCATTGTATGGAGTTGGACAATGTTTGTAACAGCAAGTTCACATGATTGCTGTTAAATTGTATATTTACCGTTGTTTTTTTTGTGTTTCTTCATTCAAATAAATACATGTGAAATATAATGTCATTCGACTCAATTTCATATCAATATATTATCCATAATACATTATTTTTACAGTGGATATATAACGCATCGGAAGCCTGAAGCGGAGAACAGTGTGATATGACGAGGCAACTTTACTCTGATGCTCTACAGTGAAAATCTGAAATCATATGAGAAACAGAGATCTTCAGACGACTTCTATGTGAATAATCTGATTTATGATGTTTTTAGCTTTGAGGGCGTGTCATTGCTTCCAGCATCAATCCTTGTAGAAAGTCTATTTATTTGCAAATGTTCTACAGAAAAGAGAAGAAGTTTTTCACTCGTAAAGATGATGAACTTGAATCGTGTGTGATGATGCTGTTAGGCACGCTCACGCTCTCGTTTTTTCAACGTCTAGAACAAACTCGATTGGTATTCACATTTCTACAATAAAAAATCTTTGAAATGATACTCTTATCACAAAACTCGAGGATAACTTGCACTTTTATTTTCATTAACTAAACAATAACCAAAAATATTCTTCGATATGAACGGTAAAAGTTTCTCATACGTTTTCAATATAATCCAGACCAAGTCTGTGTAGCTCATCCAAGAACAACGAGAATTCTTGCGCAAATTCACTCTTGAAGTGGTGCCACACTATGATTCGACCCATGGCCGATCAAGAAGATCTGTGCAAGGAAAGTGCTCAACAAACAAAAACGAGTCGTCATCTGCAAACACACATCAAACTATGGGAAAAGTCACAGAATGGCCTGTTGAAAACAACAAATCAAACTGAATGTGACAACAAAGCATTGAAGTTACAAGTACTGTATTCATTTTCTCTTCCGGAACGCAGAGATCTGTTGGTGTTTAGATTGAAGAACAAAACAATGAAATCAAAACATTGAATTCTGAACGACGGAAAGACAAGATTGATTTCGAAAACAAAATGAAAATCAAACTCAATGACGCTGAACAACAATTTGCAAGAAGAAATGACTTTTTTGTGAAAGTAGCTTGGTTGTTTTTGTGTGGGGGGTCAATGAAATGAAAAGGAAGAAAATTCAAACGCGTGAGCTTAGTCGACAATACGCTGACATGCTGAACATCTTTGGATCGATGGCAACAAACGATGACTTCTCGAGTGAACAATTCGTGGTTTCCGTCAAATCACTTATGTAAACAAATTACCATGTATCTTGTGATTTCTATTGCAACTACACAGTACGAATCTGTGCGTTGTTGTGATGAGTTTTCGCAGACGCATGCATAGTGTTTATATTTTGTATTGAAAAAATTCGTTCATCTATACCTGTGAAGCAAATTTGTAGATAATTCTAAAGAAAAGATCATCCGCTACCATTATTCATTGTTTAGATGTTACGCCAAAAAACATAACTGAATTCAACACCGGTTGACTCAGTCGAGTGGATTCTAACAACGATTCAGTACGAACATGGCTGAAAAGTGGCTCGACTGAAACTACCTCTAGACATAGTCTATGTTAAACAAATGATCTTGTTTGTGGAAATCAAGACTGGAAAGCAACGGAACAGCATATCTTGAGGGTGAGGGCGATGGGGACGCAGGTATAACTACATTTATTCCTAGGAAAAGATTAGTATTATAGGAATTGAGCACTTATATTATAAGTGGAATTAGGCAGCTACTGGCAGTATGAATAGTATATGAATATGAGATTGAGTAGAGTGACATTGTATTTGGCATGAATTCATTTGAATGAAGAAACAAAAACAACAACGGTAAATCTACAATTTAATAGCGATCAAATGAACTTATATTGTTACAAACATTTTCCAACTCCGATACTATGATAAACAGGAGTTTGCGAAAGGATAATGATGAAGAATTTGTGTTCCATCATGTCAAAGTATTTTCGTCCATACGATGGGTCTGTCGTCGACAGCTTCAGTTGATTCATCATCGACTTCGATTGGTGCATGATCAGAGTTGTTATCATTTCTATATAAGGCGAAAGGGCGACCTGTACCTTCTGGTATCAACATTGCTACGATCAAATACGGAAGTCCACCAGGAACTATCAGAAATATCACTGTATGACGGTGAAAACAACTATCATAATGAACTCTGTATGTAATAATGACAAAAACCAAGGCGTAAATCGTCCATAGAGTACGAACAACGAGACGACTGTGTTTTCCATCTATTCTAAAACCTAGTTGCAAGATAAAAGCAATCATTGCCATGAATACTGGCACAGCAATTCGACTCAGTAAAAGAAGAGGGTAAGGAATACACTGTTTCAAAATTCCTGCATCAGCCGATTGTAAGACAAAACAACAAAGTTTGTCATAAGGAATTCCGCACCTAGGAATCTCAGCATTCACATATGTTTGATTGGCCAGGCGTGATCGGACCACTGAGCGGTGAACATGATCAAGATGCAATATAAATGAGGCGAAGAGAAGCATACCGCACAAATAAACTATGAAAGATATCATTGCGGAATCTTGGTTTACTGGCGAGATATCATATTTGATTTTCATCTTGATGTTCATTGGATAAATATCAGTAATAAGAACGAAATCGAAGTTTATCGGATTGAATTAATATAGACAAATCTGAAATGAAATTAGAATTACATGTAGAAAAAAGAAGTATATTGTAAAGAATATTCGAATAAATGGTTGAGAACTAGTATTCAATTGGGAGTGACATTATCTAAGTACAAGATTCAATCGTATCATAATCGAATAATTGGTATCAAAATGACAACGAAGAAAAGTAAAACATGAAAAATGACACTCCTTTATGAGTACAGGCATATGTGTGTTTTAAAATAGTACTATACAGTTCTCATCAAGACGAATTTATCTTCTTGGCAACAATAAATGAAACTATTCAGTTGTCTTTTCATTCCAACTTCGCCTCAAATACTATATTTGCAGTATGACTGAAAGAATACTCGCCTGTCTCAACTGATAGCGTTCATTATACCTCGTATGAGAAATAGATGATTCATTTTGATAACATGAAAGATGAGATAAACATCCATGAAGAAATATTTCACGAAAGATGCGTCAACGTCTTAAATACCGATCAGTCACATTAGATGGTTCGTGTCACGCTGTCATGCTCGCTGCATAACACGGAATAAAGTCTGTTTAACTAGAATGATGATCGGTTATTAACAAATACTATAACCTCATTGACTTTCACAGAATGGAAGGCGACCATACCAGTGAACTGTAATCACAGGAAAAATCGTATTATTTATATAATCAACATTCACGAAAGACAATAAAGTCAATGCCGAAATAGATAATGAATGCAGAAGAAATTCTTCTGTTCCTTTCTTCTAGAGTTAACAATAATGTGTTTCCTGATAGGATAGGCGGTTAACCTCTGATGACAGACCGTATTGAGCATACAAAACTACCATACAGATGCGAGATGTCGCACTCCATTGATGCCATCAGTTATTACATAATCATAATGGAAATGAGGTTAAGCAGAACGGTGAATTTATCATACATAGATGAACTACAATTCTCTATCGTAACCTTCGTAGTTGTACATGTAAAACCTCAAAAGTCTGTTTTTCTCGATCAAATTTAATGAAAATTTCTCATCATGCTCCTTTGGTTGATGTTATATGTCTTTCGATGAAAGACGAACCGGCTTCTCCATCGTAGTTGCCGTTCCAATTTTGTCGAATATCAGATAGACTGTATGAAGTCAATCGAGTATCACTTGAGGTTAAAAAACGCCTTTCTACATAACGAAAGAACTCGGAAGCTGTCGCACCAATTGTGAATAAAAGCTTATTGCGGGTGAAAAATGAAACTATTAAAGTTATCCAAAAGTTGACTTATTGTTGTTAAGGAAGGTACATTTGAGAAATGTGAAGGGTCCCGCTCTCAAAATCCTATGTGTTGTAAAAAGCCATTAGATTGATACGAGAAAATATTTTAAAATATGAGGACTTAGTCTTCTTCCCCACGCTTGAGTTGGCATTATGTACATTCAGTAAGATTTGAGAACACAATGGCTATACTATATGTTAGATGAAATTTCATGTTTTGTGTGTCAGATTATCTCCTATTGATTGAAGTGAACTGAACAGAAATTCGATCATTTTATCTGCTGGTTGTGGTCAGATACTGCTGCAAGTACGACGACTGCAGAGTGTTCCTTTCATGTAGTAAAGAAAATAATGATGTAAACAAGTGTCAAATTTTATTCGAAGGGAGATGTTTACAGCATATTTTCACATCAGCGCCGATGTCACTGCTACAATTGAATCGCATAGAGGTCACATTAATCAATGTCGTCGCAAAAATGGTATTAATATGATGAATCAACGGTTTCTTTTTGCTTGCATTCTATCATATTGTAGGTAAAGCATGTAAAGTATACTATGAAAAGCCCGTGAGTTCAGAGAACAGTTTATTTTAGGTGGTACACACATGTACAATCTAAAGCGTTAGAAATCTTTTCAATAAATTCGAAATTTAACCTGAACATTTAAATGTATAAGAAAACAATCGTACTTGGAATATTACATGGTATTTTAGAAAATCCTTGAGATTAAATTCATGTAAGAAGGTAATAGAGCAATTCTACACATAGTCGTCTCATATAGAAGTGACTGGTACAAACACTACTCATAATCACAATCATCAGAAAGTTCTTTTCCGTGGATTTGTTCTCAGCACGCTACAGTAATTTAGCAAGTCACTCATATTTGAGACACAAGCTGCAGTGCGTAATAGTCGATGTAAGACTTTAATATTCATCAATGTGTCAAGTCTTCAAGTGTAAAGATACATATTTGAATGAAACAATATGATTTCCGTTGACAGAACTATTTCATTAACGCGCATAATGCGTAGTCACACATATCTCTACCATCTATTCAAAGTTTCAAATTATTCGCAGCTGTTTCTCCATAAAAGACAAAAAGAAAAGCCTTGATTAATATCGGTAACTGGTAATAATTTTTCGTCAGAATTCTAATTTTTTGTAAGAGCTGGCAATATCAAAAGTTTCCATGTAGCTGATTCTTTGTGGAAACAGTTGTCATATTCAATATTGAACATTTTAGTAGGAAACAATAAAAGTAGAAACGTCTTACTTTTGAAACATTTTGCGTAAATTCTTACGATAGTCAAATTATTCAACGATATCTTCGAGTATCTGACTATCAACTCATGAACCCTATCGTGGTGACATTGTTCAAGATCGATTTAAAAATTCTTTTCTTTCTTATTGCATCACTTCAAATATCTCGAACACGATTATTTATTTATTTCATAATTGTTTTCTTTCTAGTCAGAGCATCTTCACATATAAATCAATATCAATGAATCGCAGACTTTTTTTAGAAAATCAAAGGAACTATTGATGATGCATTTAGACAAGATCAATGTTTATTGCCCTTTACTTTTAGAATGATTACTGATAGATGTTCTTTTCAGAATAAAAGCATGTTTCTTTCATCCAGATTCAAAGCAAATGCACTTTTCTCTAGTGTCATCTATATCGCTTTACTCAAACGGAATATATGTTGAAAATTTTTCCATAGAAATAATTATTACATCGTTCTGCATATTTGATTAACTCTAATTTATCTTTATTAAAGAAACATTTAGGCACTCTGAATTGCCTCCAGAGCAAGTAAACCGCCAAAATCCAATTCAATATGATGAGCGTTTACAGATGACTAATTTTCATGATCTGGGTCTTTATCGAGCTCAAAGTAGTGCTTCCGGAGACTTTCATACAAATCGACATATAATCTCTGTCTCCGCTTTAAATTTTATATAAGAATCTCCAAAAATAACACGGGTGATAAGCTCGCTAACAGATAACTAACGAGATGGCTCACAGTCCGCTCAAAAATTCTTCATATGTTGTTTTGATTGTTTAGAATTGTCTTCATCTGATGATCTTGTTCATAGGAGAGACGATGTACACATTTCATCATCGAGAGATCGTGATCTATACTTACAAAATCTCGATGCGTCGTCTATGTATGAAATAGTCGTCGCATTGAATAGTTCAACTTGGATTGGATCTCATCTCGACAAAAAAAAAATGTTCGCTTGCTTTTCCACCCACTTGTTCTTCATTTTCATCAGTACTCATCATTTAGGATTTACGTTCTGATCGACAAAACAGTTTCGAAACCCAAAGTGAAGCCGATATTTTACTTGAACGTCAACGTCGAGAGATTCAAGTGATCAGAAATTGAAACAATCGACGTGCCAAATACATAACAATTCTTTCATATATTCCAAGTGAAGAAAAAAGACTATGATTACAGCTACTGAAACATATAATACTCGCACGTTGGATTCTACGGCATTGCATAACCCACAATTGAATGGAAATTCGTCTTATTTTGTGTTTTTTACCTTTGTTGAGATTTCTAACAATTACATTTATGATTTGTTTGATTACGATATCCTCAAGAAGTACGACAGTTTGAAAGAAATAATGAAGTTATTGTCTCTTCGTTGCATTGTAGAGCACCTTGATCAAAACAATTGCGTGAAGACAATCGTAGTCGACCATACATCAGAGATGTGAGAGAAATCGAAGTCCGTTCCAGCGAAGAAGTCATCGACTTGTGGAACATGGGTCTAAAGCGACGTCGTATTGCACATACACAGCTGAACACAGTGTCAAGTCGTTCACACAGTGTCCTTTCAGTGCGTCTCATACAATTTCAAAATGATATTCTACCAACATCACTCGTAAGTCATCGAACTCACTCATATGATTCTGTGGTTGACGTGTTGTATTCTAGGCAAAAGATGATTTAACTCTCAGTACAATCCATTCGGTTGATCTGGCTGGTAGTGAACGTGTTAATCGAGCGAAGACAGTTGGTGAACGAGTGAAAGAAGCAGGCAACATCAATTCATCACTGATGGTTCTTCGACAATGTTTTGAAACTTCGAGAAAATCAATCACAAGCAACCAGCAAGGTAATCTTGGTTTTCTCTCATGCATGTTCTCCTTATGTGTTCGTTACAGATGGTTCCATATCGGGAATCGAAGTTGACATCGCTCTTCGAAAAGTTACTTTGATGGTGAAGGTGATATTAGAATTACCTTTTGTGTCAATTCATCTGTGGATTGATATGAACAAAATCCAAGTAGATCTACCGTGCTGAATTTCTGGAAATATGTCACCTGAGTTGTTTTGTACTTTTAGCATCAAGTGAAATATGGAGAATCAGTTCCCCATAGTAACTTTTTCGTTGCTATAATCTAGTTTATTTTTGCTTTCCGAAGTATATTCGGCTGCTCAGCACATAGTTCTAAAAACCGACATGTGTCAACAGAATAAAGTAGAAGTTTTCACAAAAT